GTAACCACACTGCGCTGCCTCGCCAGCGCGGTGCCCCGAGCGACCGGCGACCTGGGGTGGGCGGGGCTCCCCCGCAGACCTGCGGCGCCCTGTCACGGGGGCGACCACGGGCGACGGCGCTGGCCGTCCTGGTCTTCTCGAGTGTTGGGGCCGGTGGCACGGAGCACGACGCGCAGACCTAGAGTTGGGTCGGGCACGCCCCCCTACAGGCGGATTTTGGACGAAAACATCAAAGCATTCAAAAGAATATCAAAATGGTCAAAGACAAAAAACAAAAAAACTATCATAAGAAAAAGAACGTCCCCAGACAGACTATTTTGTGGCTATTTGGTAATTTTCCTCCTGTAGAGGGGACACGCCCGACTTAAGCCTAGAGGGGCACCACTTTCGAGGCGGACTCGTACCTTACCGACCTCTCGCAGCATCCTCGTGCATCTGCTGCTGCTGCTGCTGCTGCTGCTGCTGCTGCTGCTGCTGCTGCTGCTGCTGCTGCTGCTGCTCCCAGCATCAGATCGGCCACGTCCCCAGCGCGAAGGGAACGACGTGAAGACGCAGAGCAGGACGACCAGTTTCTCCTTGCCGGAAGACGCTGGCGTCGGTGGTTTGGACTGAAGAAGAAAAACTGCATGAACATAAACTTTCAGGGGGATCTCGCGGGTTTCCTGGATCTGCGCTAACACCCCCTCGTCGCAGGTACCGCCGGTGGGCCCCAGCGCAGATCCAAGAAGTCCGCGCGGAGCTCTGAAAGTGTATACGTATGCAGTTTGTTATTATTCGATGGACGTGAAGGTGTGCGGGCATTCGATAAAGCATTGCTTTATACGCGCGACTCTGCGCTGGCCACGCCTCATCTCCACGGTTGGTCGCGCGGTTCGGGCCCTGGGCGCGCGGTGCGCTGGGCTCCCCCGCGCGCAGTGCCCGAGGAGACGCCCGCCGCGCCCACCAGCCAGCCAAAGCCCTGCGGGCGGGTAACGAGCCAGCGCGGGACCCCAGCCGCAAGCCTGCCCGGAAGACACCGAGGCGGCAAGTCTCGGCTGCGAGCCCAGGGGGGAAAGTGAGAAGGGGCGAGCCTTCTCAGAAAGCTCGGAAGTCCCCTGGCCTTCTGAGGAGTTTCCGATGCCTTCCGGCGCGAGGGCTTCTGAAAAGTCCCGCGCCTTCTGAGAAGGCCTCCTCCTTCTCACTTGCCCCCCTCGCTCGCCGCCGAAAAATTCGCCGGCCCAACGGGCCAGAGGCGTGCTAAGATCTCTGGTAACTGCTAAAAAATACTTCTACTTCGCGCGCGCGGGGCGGCCCCTGGGGGTCCCCGGACGAAAAATACCCCGGGCGATCCCCGGCAGACTCGGGTCAGAGATGGTTTTCCTCTTGGGCGCCGCCCCCGTGGCCCTCCAGAGAGCCCCAAGAAGGGCCACGAGGCCGCCAAGAGCCCTCCAAGATGGTTCAAGAGTGCTCCGAGATGCCACACGATCGTTCCAAGACGCCCAAGATGGCCCCCAGACGCCCCAAGAGGCCTCCAAGAGCACTCCCCAGAGGGCCCCAAGAGGCAAAATTCATTACTTTTCCTTAGGTTTTGGGCAGATTTTGGCGTGTCCATCTTTTCGGCTTCCCGACGCCCCAAGACGGCCCAAGAGGCCCCCAAGATCGCCCCAAGAGGGCCCAAGAAGCTCCCAAGAAGGCCCCAAGATGGCCCAAGAGGGCTCCAAGACGGCCCCAGAGGCATCCAAGACGGCCCAAGAGGGGCCCAAGAGGGCCCCAAGCGATGCCCCAAAGGGGGAACACAAAACAAAACTTCGAGCCCTCGGCCTTAAGAAGCCCCCAGGAGGCCTCAAGAGGCCCCTGAGAGGCCCCAAAAGCCCCCAAGAGGCCCTCAGGAGGCCCCCAAGCGACGCTGAAGAGGCCCCCCAGCGGCCTCAAGAGGCTCAGTCATGCGAAATGGGCCGGCGGAATGAGCGAAGCGATTCAATAAGTCGACAAGGCTTGCGTAACCTTGATGGCCGATGGCCGCCGCTGCTGCTGACCGTGTGTAGCCAGATGGCCTCCAGGTCGCACGGAGGGCCTGGCCAGTCTGCGCAAAATGCGTGAACCGGCGTGCACACTGGGCCACTGCAAAATCACACGGCCCGCTAGTGGCACAGGATTGGCGGCGCATGGACCGTCCTCCCGCAGGAGGAGGAGGCGAATGTTCCTCGGTTTCCTGACACCCACAAGCGGTGGGAGGAGGAGGAGGAGGAGGAGGAGGAGGAGGAGGCAGAGGCAAAGGCAGAGGGAGAGCGAGAGGGAGAGGGAGAGGGAAAGGAAGAGGGAAAGGGAGAGGGAGAGGGAAGGAGGGAGAGAAAGGGAGAAGGAGAGGGAGAGGGAATGAGGGAGAGGGAGAAAGAAGAAGCGGAGGGCGGAGGAGGGAGGAGATGAAGAGGGAGGAGCAGGGTGGGATGAACCGGGGCGCAGAAGAGGGGAGGGAGGAGAAAGGAGGAGGAGGAGGAGGAGGAGAGGAGGAGGGAGGAGGAGGAGGGGGAGGGGAGGAGCGGGGAGAGGGAGGGCGAGGAGGGGGAGGAGCAGGGGAGGAGGGGGAGGAGGGGGAGGAGGGCGAGGAGGGCGAGGAGGGCGAGGAGGGCGAGGAGGGCGAGGAGGGGGAGGGAGGGCGCAGGGGGCGAGGAGGGGGAGGGAGGGCGAAGAGGAAGAGGGCGAGGGCGAGGAGGGGAGAAGAAGGGGGAGGGGGAGGGGGAGGAGTGAGGGCGAGGAGGGGGAGGGAGGGCAAGGAGGAAGAGGGCGGGGGGGGCGAGCAGGGGAAGAGGAGGGCGAGGAGAGGTGGAGGAGTGCGAGATGGAGCCAGCAGGAACCACGACAAGTCCTGGAGACAAGCACCAAGCGGGTGTGAGGGGAGAGAGGTCCTCCCCCTCCCTCTCCCCCTCCCCCACCCTCCCGCATCCCCTTCCCTCCCCCTTCTTCCCCTCTGCCCCTCTCCCCCTCTCCCTGTCTCCCCATCTCCCCTTCTCCCCCTCCCCCTCTCCCCCATCTCTCTTCCCACCTCCCCCTCTCGACCGAAGCTGCATGAGGACACGTCTGGAGCCGCAACGCTGTCCAAGGCAAAACGGAAAGGAACAGGAAGATTGGAGGAGGAGGAGGAGGAGGAGGAGAAGGAGGAGGGGGAGGAGAAGGAGGAGAATGAGGAGGAGGAGGAGGCGGAGGAAGAGGAGAAGGAGGAGGAGGAGGAGGTGGAGGGAGGAGGAGGAGGAAGAGGAAGAGGGCGCAGGTCGTGCAACAAGCAACAGCTCCCGCTGGGCGCGCAGCCGTCAATGCGGCAGCAGCCATCACAGCACCACAGCGGCAGCAGCAATCACAGCGGCGTCCTCGATGGTGGACACCCTGTCGGACATGTTGAAGGCAGCGGCAACATTCGCGGCCATCCTGGGAAGGGGGTGAGTTCAAGAGAAGGAGGGACGGAGGGTAGGCGAAAGCGAGGGCGAGAGGGAGGGCGAGAGGGAGGAGAGGGGAGGGGAAAGAGACAGGGGAGGAAGGGGCAAGCTAGGTGCGCTCCTGACATCCCACCCCTCCCACCCAGTTATTCCTGCGTCCGCCGACGGGTGTCATAGCGGACTTGGAACCCCCAAGAGCACCCCATCGCGTCACGCGCAACATGATCAAGGGGAGCTGCGCATTTACGTTGGAGGAGGAGGTAGCGGATGAGCGGGAGGATGAGCAGGAGGAAGAGGAGGAGGAGGAGGAGGAGGAGGAGGAGAAGGAGGAGGAGAAGGAGAAAGAAGGAGAAATAAGGACGAGGAGGTACAACTGCGGCAGGAGCGGGAGGAGCGGGAGGAGCGGGAGGAGCGGGAGGAGCAGGGGAGCAAGAGGAAGGCAGAAACGGGGAAAGGGACGGGGCGACAGGAGAAGGTGGAAGAGGACGGGGAAGGCAAGGGGGGACAGGGAAAGGAAGGGGGAGAGGATGGGGAAAAGAAGGGGACGGGGAAAGGAAGGGGGCGGGAAAAGGAAGGGGACGGGGAACTGGAGCCGAAGGAGCAGCAGGAGCAGGAGGACCAGGGAAGGCGGAGGAGGGGAAAGGAAGGGGGAGACAGCGAGGAGAACGAATTCGGATCCAGAAATCTGGCCCGCGCTGAGGCTAGATCGCAATTGTAACAGGGTGGAAGCATGGCGCCGATCCTGATGTGAGGCCAACGCTGTAACGGAAGCGCCGTTTTGAAATGCTGAGAACGCTCCTCCTTGAAATATATATATATATATATTAACAAAAAAATGCTGTACACGGAGAGGGCAGGACATTTCCAGGACGTAGTCGGGGGAAGAAGGGAAAAAATACTGGCCTTCAGTAATCACAAAGATAGGAAGGGGGAGGAGACGGAGGAGGAGGAGGAAGAGGAGAAGGAGCGGAGGAGGAGGAGGAGGAGGAGGAGGAGGAGGAGGAGGAGGCGGAAGAGACCGCGGGGGAGGAGGAGGAGGAGAGGAGGAGGAGGAGAGGAGGAGGAGGAGGAGGAGGAGCGAGGAGGAGGAGGAAGAGGAGCAGGAGGAGCGGGAGGAGGAGGAGGAGAAGAAGGGAGGAAGAGGGCGGATGAGGAGGAGGAAGAGGAGGAGGAGGAGGAGGAGGAGGAGGAGGAGGAGGAGGCGGAGGCGGAGGGGAGGAGGAGGGCGGACACCAATGGCTGACATCCTCACTGTCTACCTCGCGTTTCCTTTAATTCGTTCCAGTTAAACACATAGCTGTTAAGCCTCACAACCAGCAGGCCAACATGCCAGGCCAGTGGCATAGCTGCCCTTTACGCGCATTGCTTATTCGCCAATGCACATGTATTTACCCTGGCCTGACGTAGCACGTCCAAGACTTTACTCGGCGGGGTGGCAGACAGGGGTTGATCGGGCGATGGTGGGAGCACTACTGACACAAAGGTCATGTTGGCCCTCAGCGGAGAGGCTACAGCCCTACTGTTGGCCGCTGTATGCCAGACGTGCTCCCACTGATCCCACTACTACTACTACTACTACCCCGTCATACTTGCAGCCTCGTTCGTGCCTGGCCTGGCAGCGCCAGATACACGCTACACCACACATGAGATTATGGGATGGAGGTGGGGGTCCTGTATGTGGGGCGGGATGTGCTCTACTGCTCCCTAATGCTGTTCTGACCCTCAGCTGGGGGACGCCAGCCCTACCCATGAATCGATAGACGCTGAAACACTAGGTTGCCTCCTCACATACCTTTGGCACATCCATGCCACGGTTTCTTTACTGAGGGCAAGGCGACATACTTGCTCCAAGTACCATACGCGCAGCCTATGGCACTAGCTGAGCCAGCGCCAAGCCTGACCGACGGTACACTTAAGGACTACATCAGCCAGCTACGGCTCTCTGCCCACTCTCTGCTCAGCCCCGCGTTGCTGATTCGCCCGTCGTTGGCAGTCACCCGGGGCCACGTTTTACACACCCAGCCCCACGCTTTAACCTACAAAACATGTGGGACCGTGCTGAAACCGTAAACATACTTCAAAAAGCACGTGGGCCCCATACCGTGGGGGTTTGGGGTGAACCGAAAACCATCGGTAGCAGCCCAGGTATTGCAGTGCCTAGAGTGGCACATCTGAGTATAGTTTTGCGGCCTCGGACTAGCAGTACCAAGGCCAGCCAACACCACTGGTCAGCTTACCAGTCTGCAGCGTATGTCACCTGTTCCCTTGCAGTGAGATAGACTCTGCCAGCCACCAGGCCGACCAATACTGCCTGTGCTAGCTTCATACCGTCCAGCTGATACCTGCAGCTAGTGCACATGGCCTACTTCTCAGCCTGGCATGCATGACTCTGACCGTGGATGGCGGAGAGGTGGGTTTGGGAGAATGGTGATTGGTACGGGGCATGTACCACTACCCACCTTGGGTCTCTGCGTACAGGGCCTCCCGACCCAGGAACCCTGTACCACCCAAGGAGCCAGATGTTACGAGCGGCGCGCAGCTATTACCGCCCTATGGCTACATCGCAGCCCTGCCACATTGCCTACCCCTCAGCCCTTTACGCTAGGCATCTTCCGCACAAGCCAGTCTGGCAGGCCAGCCTTACCAATGGTAGTCACCCGACGCCACGTTTTACGCGTTGCCTCTCGTCTTACTCTAGCCTAAGGAAAAGCAGCGCGCAGCGTACCGTCCTTTGGCTACCTCGCAGCTCTGTGCACTTTGAGCTCTCAACCTCTTCTACAACCCACCCGACGCCTCGTGTTACACGTTGCTCTCAGCCTACCGTAGCTCAAGGAACCACATGTTGCAAGCATTGCGCTGTTCTTACCGACATGCTGCCACCGAATACCTCTGTACACATTGCCTACCTCTCAGCCTGACATGTCTGACTCTGATGTTGGTTGATTCTGGGGGGGTAAATACTGAGGGCTTGGCGGATGGGATGGGAACGTGTACGGCTGCCGTCATTGGGTCTCTGTGTACAGGCCCTTCCTACTCAGGGACCCTGTACCACCCAAGGAGCCACATGTTGAAAGCGGCGCGCACCTGATACCATCCTGTTGCTACCTCACAACTCTGCGCACGTTGCCTACCTCTCAGCCTCTTCTGTTACATTACACCGTACAGGCCAGACTTGCCTTTGGTAGCCACCTGATGCCACATTTTTACAGATCGAACTGGCACCACCCAAGGAGCCACAGATTGCCAGCACTGCGCAATTCATAGTCTTGTCGCTATCTCACAGCCCGTACGCATGGCCTACCTCTCAGCCTGACTTGACAAACCCTGACTCTTGGGTGGTGATGATATGGTGGAGGTACCTTACTACGGGTGACTGGGACGGGAGTACGTACGGCTACCCCCTTGGGTCTCTGAGTACAGGCCGTCCCTACTCAGGGACCCTGTACCGTCCAAGGAGCCACATGTTGCTAGCAGCGCGCAGCTTTTACCGATCTTCGGCTGCCTCGCAGCTCTGTGCATTCTGACCTCTCAGTCTTTCCACAAGTGGCAATCACCACATACGTCAGCCTAACAAGCCAACCTTGTCGTTGGCAGTTACCCGACGCCACGTGTTACTTTGCATCCTGCCTTGCTTTACTTGCTTTCCCCGAGGCAGCCAGTACCAGTGATACTGAGGGGGGGCCGTTGAGGATGGAGGGAGGGAGGTTACTTACCAAGGTACTACAGGTGCCCTCGGTTCTACCTGGCGTGCGCCTACTCTCGGTACCCAGCTTTGCCGCACATATCTGTTTCCCTCTTCGCCCGCGGCGCCCACCAAGTGCTGCGCCAAGCCAGACTCATGCATCGATTAGTTTCCACAATTCACTAGCGCCACAGCTGTCTTGCCCGGGTTGTTCAAACGTACTGTAACAAGGAGGAGGAGGAGGAAGACGAGGAGGAGGAGGGAGGAAGAGGAGGAGGAGGGCGGAGGAGGAGGGGGGGACAAGCTAGGTGCGCTCGCGTCATATCTGACGTCCTACCCCTCCCTCCCATCCCTTACCATGGCACTGATTTTCTCTATCCGCCAGGCGACGTGCCAGGGAACGTGCCATGGGGAACCACCGCGGGACGTGCCAACGGGACGCGCTACGGAACGTGCTGGGGACAAGCGTTTCGCTCGAGACCTCCTGCGAAAATCCTAGGAATTCCTGGAACAACAAGCGAATTTGTCGAGACATCCTCCAAATTCCTGCGCGCGGGACGCGGCACGCGCGAGACAGCCTCGAATTCTTGCGAGCGGGACGTGGACACAAGCATTTTGCCTGAGAGATCCTCTGAATTCTGGCCCCCCACGAGGCCCCCGCTCGAGACATCCCCCAATGTTGCAAAACCAGCGTTTCGCTCGAGACATCCTCCACACATTATGAAAAGAACCAGCGTTTCGCTCGAGACATCCTGACAAAATCCAAGGAAACCCTGGCAAAAATTAGCCTGGCGAAGGACCCAACCATATTCAGTTGCGAATCCCGCAAATATGAAGATCGTGTTCGGTGGCGCTACCTCTGGGTAGGGGAGACGCATGCGAACACCCCCACTGGGGCCTTCGGTGGAGCTCCCTATGGGGCTACGAAACGCTGCCTTGGGTGGGGGAACCGCATGCGGACACCCCCACTGGGGCCTTCGGTGGAGCTCCCTATAGGGCCACGAAACGCTGCCTTGGGTGGGGGAACCGCATGCGGACACCACTGGGGCCTTCGGTGGAGCTCCCTATGGGGCCACGAAACGCTGCCCTGGGTGGGGGAACCGCATGCGTACACCCCCACTGGGGCCTTCGGTGGAGCTCCCTATGAAGCTACGAAGCGCTGCCCTGGGTGGGGGAACCGCATGCGGACACCCCCACTGTGTGGCAGCAGGAGGATTGGGCAGATGTTTTTCCCTTGAGCCAAACACAGGCGAATCACGGGTACAAACTTGACTCGCACACCACATGCTGAACCTAGACTGATAAATCTG